AATTTTTTGAACTTTTTCCCCAGCAGATTAAAGTTTTCTGAATCAGAATCTTCAGAGCTTGTATCTTCATATTTCTCCTTGCCTTTGATTGATTTTAAGGCTTTTAGAGATACTTTTTTTCCCTTTTTATCTTGTAGTTCATTTTCATCAAAAATGTGCAGCTTTTGCTCATGATCTCTTAGCTTTCCAAAGAGAGTTGCAAGTTTCAATGAGGTTAGATCCTTTGATTCTTCAATTTTTGTAACCTTTGCTTGCCAAGATCTATCCAAGCATTGTAGAACCTTCAAGTTTAATTCCTCTTGTTTGAATTTCCTGCCAAGATCAATAAGGTGATTTATCAAGTGTGTAAACCGTTTTTGAAAATCAAAAATTGATTCACCATGATTCATTCTCAACAATTCATATTCTCTTATGAGAGTATGTTTCCTATATCTTTTTACATCACTTATTCCTTCATGAGTAACTTGTAGCGTGTCCCACATTTCTTTAGATGATTTGCATTGAGAAATTCTAAAAAAAACTCATCAATAGACAATGCAGATGTTATGATGTTCTTTGCTCTATAATCATATTGAGCTCTCTTTTTCTCATCATCACTCCATTCACTCCAATGTTTTTCTCTTTTTCCATCACTATCCTTAGTCATAGGAATATAGGATCCATTTTCAATTGCATCCTATACAGCAATATCAATTGCTTCAATAAAATTCCTCATCCTAATTTTCCAATAGACATAGTTCTCTCCATTAAACACAGGAGGTCTATGAATATAAACACCTTCACCATAAGGTAGGTTGCTGATGGCCATTTTTGAAATCTTGATTAACACTCAAGAACCTTGCTCTAGATACCAATTGATAGAAAAGAATGGCTTAATCCAAGAGGGGGTGAATTGGATTCAATGACACTTGAAAATTTTTCAGAGTTTAAAGATCTTTATTTCACTCAAAAGCTTTTCTAATATGAATTCTCAATGAAGTTAATTAAACCTTTAACAAATGGGAATGACTCCTATATGAATTCTTGATTAATCTTTATTGAATTTAGTCTAAGAAACAACTAATATGCAATTGTAATGTTTTAGTTCAAACCATTATTAATCATACAAGCATATCAATCAAGCCCAGCCATTTTAGCATTCAAATAAAGATGATTCAAGGTAAGAGATAGAAATGAGAAAAGAGTGCAAAGTGTTTTATCCTGGTTCAACCACTCCACATGTGACCTACATCCAGTCCTCAATCATAACCTGATCAAGACTTGTTCCACTATCTTAATGAAGAAGTTTTATAAGCATACCACACATGCATACACTCCTACATTCAAGATAGACACTTTCTTGCCTCCAAGAAAACACTTCTTGTAGAAACCCAATACAATAATTCCTTACCACTTGAGACACCTACTCAAGATTTCTTTACACTTTACACAGAATTAAAGGAACGAATTCACCTGGAAGCTGAACAAATCAGACTGTGAATTCTTGACACATCTTAATCTTTCTCTTCCAAGAATATAGTGATGATGATGATTTCTCTCAAAGAATTTCACAAAATATTTCTCTTCTTGGTTTCACAAAGAAAACACCCCAAGAAGGTCACATAGACTTCACAAAATCAGTTTTTCTCTCTATTATTTTCAGTTCATCTCTCTTGTTCTTTTTCAAAGTGTGAAAACTATTTATAAAGTTTTCCAGACCCAGATAATCAATTATTTCTTAGGATAATCGATTAATTTTTTTTTCATGATTTCTGGAAATCACTCAAGAACAGAATACTCGATTATTTTATAGGATAATTGATTATTCCAGAGAGTACTCCTGGAATAATCAATTATTTCTCAAATAATCGATTATTACAGCAAGGTTCCCTGAACCTCTTGCTGGAATAATAGATTATTTTTAATGATAATCGATTATTTTGAGTATGTTTTCAAAAACTCAATTTCTCACTTTAGAAAACTTTCCAAGTCATTTAGATCATCATCATACTCACTCTTAGTCAATTTAGATTAAGATTTACTCAAGCACAAAGCATACACATGCAAAAAATAAACTCAAACAAGGCAACACAACACATAAGAACATATGAGCTACTCCTATTACATATCATATTCTCTCATGATCTTCATGTCCTTTCTTGACTAGCTTGCCCTTTGTTATTGGCTTGTACCCTTTGTTATCATCAAAACTTCTCAGAACCTTAGAGCTGAGCTTGATTCATCACCCATGAATCTCAACAATTTTCATAAAATATGTGCACCTTTTGTTCATGCTCTCTCAACTTTCTAAAAAAATTTGCAAGTGTTAATGATGTTAATTTGGTCCTTTAATTCTTTAATTGCTGTTACTTTTGCTTGCCAAGACCTATCCAAGCATTGTAGAACCTTCTAGTTCAATTCTTCTTTCTCGAACTTCCTTCCATGACCAATAAGGTGATTTATCAAATGTGTAAAACATTTTTGAAAGTCAAAAATTGATTCACCATGATTCATTCTCAACAATTCATATTCTCTTACAAGTGTATGTTTTCTAGATCTTTTAACATCATTTTGTTAAGTCACACGAAGAAATATCCAACAAGGTTTTGAACATGACAAATATAATACATATTGTTATTTCTAACATGTGTGTTAGTGTTACAGATAAATATAAGGACAGACAAAACTGAAAAATGAAGTAGGTGTTATTACACATACTATGGTCAAATTGAACGAAGCTTGGTTGAACGGTAAAAATCATCAGATGATGGTTGATCAAGCATCAAGACTAAGCCTAATCAAAAGCCAGACGAAAATACAACAAATACAAGACAAGAATACTACCAGTCGAAGGTCAACAAAGTATCAGACGATGGATAACACAAGACGAAAAAATGTTCTAGACGGAATTAAAGTCGTCCATCTTCACAACTGACCAGACGAAAGGAACATAATATTTATGAAATTATTTCTCACTCATATATACTATTATGACATTATTTATAATCCATATAGGATCTCTAGCCCATCACACCAAAAATAGAACGTGCGAGCCTCGGCGAGAGAGTGGTGGAAGGGGAGTGAGGGGGAATAACAGAGGGAAGAGGAGAGATAGAGGTTTTGGTTGTGAAGAGAGGATTGAGGTTGAAGTGGAAGGAGACTCATCTTACTGGCTCTGTGTGTGCGAGAGTGTGAGTTAGTTGTTTGGGAAATAGTGGGTATGGAACTAACTAGACAAAGTTTGAAGAGATAAATAGCACGCACCTGTGGGAAATTTCTGAAAAAAATAAAGATCACTTATTTTTATTACAAGGAGTTTTTCAAGTAAATTGATAGGCTTAGATTAGCAAATGTTAAGAAAAATTTTATTTTTGTTTGTGGGGGTTAAACAATCACTTTTTTTTTATAAAGAAATTCTTAAAAAATAAATAAAAATTACTAGTATCTTGGTCAATATTTTAAATAGAATAATTAATAGGTTTCTAATATAATTATCTTGGTCAAAAAAATTTGCAGGAAAGTTTCCTGCAAAAAAAATTCACAGGAAACTTTCCTGTGAATTTTTTCACAAGAAATTTTGCAGGAATTTTTTTACGAAAAAAAATAAAGAAATTACTATAAATTCTATCAATAATTTTTCAACTTTCGAATGCTCACAATGAATTCATTTGAAGCATTTGTTTCCATGCCTCCAACATGTACATAATCTTTTAAATTCTGAGATGGTAGATTATAAGCCTAACACTCAACCATATAAATCAACTTGTAAGGTAAGTGTTGCCTTAACTTATATACTATTTAATTGTTTTATTTTCAATCGATGTGGGACTTGAAGTTTTTTTAAAATATTAAAATTATAAATTTAAATATTTTTTTTCTTGCGGATTAAAATTTGCAGGAAAATCCGCAGGAAAAGCTACCTGCAAAATTTTTCTACCATTTATTAAACATTACTTGCAAACTGCACTATCCCTTAGGATTCCTCCTAAACTACTTTGTGTGTGCACGAAACCTCCTAAACAAATTTTTCACACAAGCAAACAAGGATAAATACATTTTTTGAATTTTATATGTTTGATTTAAGATAACTTACAAAATAACTCTTGATAAAGTTATTCCGCTCAATAACTTATGGTGTGTGTTGAATTTCACGGATCCAATTAATTGTTAATTTAAAAGTTATTAAATTTTACTAATAATTAATATAAAAAAATTAATTAGTTTTGGAATAAATTATTTGCTAATTAACAATATAATTGAAACATTAATTATTTTAAATTATTTAACTAAAATCTTATTGACAATTTACTATATGATCTTAATATTTTTGTATAACTAATATCTGGTTTTAAATTTGATATGAGAATATTATATATAATTAGATAAGATTTTAAGTTAGTATTTTATTAATAGTTGATAATTAGAAAATAAAACAAGGATAAATACATTTTTTTGAATTTTATATGTTTGATTTAAGGTAAATAAATATATTAAATTAATTAATAATTTATTTAAAATATTAAAATTTAATTTATAAGTATGTAATAAATAAATATTTATAATTTTATAAATTATATTATCATTATAAATTATAAAATTAAATAATTTAAATTATAATTTTAAATAGAAATAAGTAGATGTTAATTATAAAAGTAAGTACATATAAATAAAGAATAATAAAATATATTATTATTATTATATTTAAAAAAATTAGAACCCTTGAGATGCCAAATATGAGGATTGTTACATTAATAAATTTATTAAAAAAAAAATTATAATTTCTAACGGGTAAAAAAATGGTCGTAATATTAATTTAGAGGCATTTGGTGCGACAGTTGATGAAAGGGTCGCAATGTTAATATAGAGGCAGTTAGTGCGTCCGGTGCTTCAGGGGTCGCAATTTCAATTTTGTGACGATTTGTGCAATGATTCTGATAACCGTCGCAAAATTCCCTTGTACCGGACAATTCTACGACGGTTCCCAAACTGTCGCAATGTTGTCTTTGCGGCAGTTCTAACCATCACAATGTAGTCCATATAACCGTCGCAAAATCGTCATTTTCTTGTAGTGGGTGTCCCTGCCCAAAGGTGGTTTCTAAGTCGGCGTACCCCCTGGCCGTCACCTGATTTCCTGCAAAACCTACTAGAGTTCCTGCATATGGCATAAGGCGATCAGTCAAAATTTTCATCCCGACAAAAGCCTCCCAGAACATGATGTCTGCCGAACTGCCCTGATCTACCAACACATGCTTCACATTATAGCCCATGACGATCGCCGAAATGGCTATAGGGTCATCCTCGTGGGGAGACACCCCCTCGTAGTCGGCATCCGAGAATGTGATGGCTGGCCGATGTGGTCTTGCCCACTCTGAGACTGATAACATCGATCGGGAGTATCTCTTCCGTGCCGCTGACGTCGGGCCTCCTCCAGCAAATCCCCCCTCTATGGTGTTAAAATCTCCATGGACGGCCTGTTGATGGGTCTTTGAACTTTTTTCTGGAAGGTCCCTAGGAGGAGCCCTCCCTTTGTGCCTTCCTCCTTTTGTATCTTCCCCTTCATGTCTACGCCGTCTATCAGACGAGCCTTCATCATGCTTTCTTGCCACAAACTTCTTTAAACGACCCTCCTTGATAAGACGCTCAATTTTCCTTCCGAGAACGAAACAATTCTCTGTAGTGTGCTCATGGGTCCTATGAAACTCGCACCAGTCAGTTTTGAAAGGACCCAACTGACGATCAATGGCTGCTGGGAACACGAAGAGTGACGCGTTGTTGACGTCATGAAGTATTTGCCTCCTAGGGACGTTGAGCGGGGTGAACTTTTCCTGCTCATTATTTCGTGTCCACTCGCCTCTCATCCGACCACCACAGTCCGCCTGCCTGCGATTTCCTTCCTTCGCACTGTAGTGGTCACGTCGCTTACTCCAATCTGAGCTTACCCAGAGATGCTTATTGTCCCCGTTGTTGCTGCCCCCTGCTTCTCGGCTCTCAGCCGCCCTCTTATTGATTTGTCCTTCCTCCGTCTTGATATGACTCAGGGCGAAAGCTCTCACCTCCGACATTGTTTGATAATTCGCTCTCTCCAGCGCGATGTCGAAAGCTCCAAATCTTAGACCCTTCTGGAATACGATGATCGCCATCCTTTCATCCAAGGACGCTATCCTCAAGGCGACCTCATTAAACCTTTGCAGAAAGTCCTTCAACGACTCCTCACGTTGTTGTTTGAGATCGAACAAGTCTGATGTGATCGGCGGTTTCTTCTTGTTAGCTGCGAACTATGCCATGAAGAGCCGATTAAAGACATCGATGTTGATAATTGATCGATCAGGGAGACCACTAAACCAATCAAGTGCTGCCTTTTTGAGTGTGCCCATGAACAGCTTGCAGCGGATTTCCATACTCCCTCCACAAATCAGCATTTGAGCTCAGAAATCTGTCAAGTGCTGACTGGGATCCTGAGTTCCATCGAAAGGTTTGACTTGGGGAACCCGATGATCCCTCGGGATGGTCTCGGCCTCTATAGCTTCCGAGAAAGGTCAAAAATCCCTAGGGACTTCCATCATTACATCTTCCTCTATCGTCCTGGTGTTGGCCATTATCATAGCTTGCATCGCATCCGCCCGTCTCCTGATTCCCTCGTTTTCTCATTGAATAGCCTCTTCTCTCTCCCTAGGTCGCGCATTCTCCTCCCTCAAGCCATTGATCAATGCCATCATCTCCTCCATGGTAAGGTGTTGTGAGTCGCTATTTGATGTGCCGCCTCTCACCATAGTAAAGTGTGGGCTCTTTCTTATTGCTTGGGGCATAGGAAAAGTTTCACCGTAGCCCCACGGTGGGCACCAAAATGTTCCGGCTAAAGGGTGAGCTAGGATTTTGATGGAGGTGAATAGAAGAAGTGAAACACAAACTCCTCCTAAGCTCCTCCTTGGCTCGGATCTTCTTCAATGGAGATAGAAACACACTTGAAGAACACATGAAGATGAAGAACACTTGCGGAATTGGAAGAAGGAAGCATCCAAGCTCAAGATTCAATGGAGAACTCACTTCAAAGAGAAGGAAGAAAGGTGAAACTTCCTAAGGTTTTGAGATGAATTCTTGGAGACTTTGAAAAGGAGAAACTCGGCACTAAAGGCTCTCAAATTTTATTCAATATTCAAAGTGAGTACAATAAGGTGAAGGAGGGAACATATAGCTTCCGAAAATTAGGTGGACACTTGGCGCCACATGATTGGCCACCATATTGGCGCCAAGTTTTGAATTCAAATTTGAATTTGAATTCAAAACTTGTCACACATGTGTATGACCGGTCCCATGAGTGCTTGGTGCATTTGGCTTTGATTTAGTGTGCATTTAGGGTTGAATTTAAGTCACACATGTTCAGCCAAGGTGGCATGATCCATGTGACTCAAAATGCAACTTAAATGCATGCTAAATTAAACCTAATTTTGCCTAATCCTCTTAAACTAATATTCCTCCTTAAATCCTACTCTAATGACCCAAATACAATGGTCCAACAAATACAATGGAAAGGAAAAATTACAAGAATGAAAATGAGCCCAATATTGGGTACCAAAAGCCCAAAGGCCCATGAAGCCCAAAACTAGGCCCAACAAGCCTAAAACCTAAAATGCTACTCTATGTGGTCCAAAATACAAGACCAAAATATATTCATACTATACTAACAAAAATATAATAAGAATGTTAAAAACAAGATAAGCCCATGTTGAAACTTGGTTTGGGCCTTCCAAGCCCATAGGGCCGCCTTGACGGGCCCAATCTTCCATATCTAGCCCACTCCTCTTGGATCTTTGAGTATGTCACCTCTTGCTTTCCAAAGCATGATTCCATCAGGTTTCGTCCTAGGTTGAGCCTTAAAGTCAGAGCATTCCAAAGTGTAATCTTCCCCCTTAGCCTTATGGTTTTAGGTTTTATATTTTCTTGTTCACGAGCCTCGTGGGCCTTGAGAATGTGGGGATTTGCTTAACCGCTTCCATTAGGAATATTTGATTATTAAAGATAGGATTTTCGTCCTTAGTTTACGGATCAAATGCGAGAGGTAAGACCTGCTCGGGTATTGGCCGAGCTCACCCAGGCCGATCCTGTAACGGCCGAGCTCACTCTGGCCGATCTCACCCACGTGACCAGATAGGATCGGGCTTATGCCGAGATCACCCTCATGGGGGGAATCCGGTCGGATCCCGATCGGGCTCACCCCTGTGACAAAACCATATCGGTTTTTTGTCAAGATCTACTTCATGATGAGGTGAGGAGGGTCTCGGTTCTTTTCCTATGAGACGCATCGGAAACAAGCCGATACGGTACATATATAAAATTCAAAAAATGTATTTATCCTTGTTTTATTTTCTAATTATCAACCATTAATAAAATACTAATTTATAATCTTATCAAGTTATATCATAATATTTTTATATCAAGTTTAAAACCATATATTAGTTATAAAATATGTTAATTTGTTTTGGAATTTTATTTCAACATGAAACTTTAAAATAAATGTGCGAATAAAAAAAACTCCGTTAAAACGGTCACATATTCTGTTTGATAGAGAAAAAAGCATGGAAACGCATTGTGATGTATTTAAAACTTATCAAAAAGAACAAGCGGGTGGTTTGCCCAATTAGTTAAGGGGGAAGACTTAAGATTTTCTCCACATAAGTATGTGTGTGGATTCGAGCTCTACTGTCAGCAATTTTAGCCTTTTTAAACAAAAGAGGTGTAATTGTAATAAAAAGGAGGTGTATATATCATAAGTTAAATACTATGAACATCTTTGAGTAAATTAAAATCAAAAGATAATAACTTTTTTAAATTACTAAAATATATTTCATTTTATAATTTCTTCACAAATTCTTACTAATTTTTGTATAAGTCAATTACTTTTAAGCAATGAAACTAACACGATTATATTAATTGAATTGAATGGTTAAGTCTAACTTCTAAAATAACTATTGAAACAAAATATGATTCATGAAAATAATTTTAAAATATATTAGCTAAATAATTTTTATATATAATAAAATTAAAGACAAGTATTAAAATAATAAATGGAGTTAATATAATATTCATTTATAAATATTTAAATAAATTATAAGTAGCAAGGTATTATTTAATTGATGTTTAAAATAAAATATTTTATAATATCTAAATGAATTGATTTTTAAGATAAACTATTATATACATATTTAATTAATATAATTTTAAAATATATATGTATAATTTGATATATTTTAAATAAATATTTTTATATTAAAAATTAATTTATCGTTAAACAAAATAAAAATATTTCAAAATATGATTGTTGTTGAATCAGTTTGATCATATTCATATATAATAATATAATCATGTCTCCTCAAAAAAGCAATATTTTCCTCAAAGTAATACGAGCATAATCAAAGATAGATGGTATAACGTATTTTAAGTAATTAAGTTCATGTGTTATTGGTGAGGGGCGTGGTGAAAACCTCGCTCTGAGTGTAGGTTATATGTTAGGTACCAGGATTGGTCCCTAATCTTGTTGATTGTGTTGTATGTGTGAGGGATTAAACACAAAATATTATTTTTAATTTCAATGTATATTTTTAATTTCTATATATGTGTAATTGTGTTGTTGATTTGTAACTTGCCCTTGTTTATGAATATATTAGTGCTCATGAGTTCTCTGGAAAACTATAAGGTTTAGAATTGAAGAATAATTACTGGAGAAACAATTTTGAATAGGAACCTTCTTAATAAGAACACATTAATTAGACCATATCATACGCAATTGCCACTCTTTTATAATGTTTGTAGTTGTACTTGATGTGATTGATAAATGTTCCTTACTAAGGATTGATAGACTGATGTGTGCCAAGGTACAATAACACAATGTATGATTAACTAAATGTAAAATTGTTAATGACTGCGAGTACAATATGCATGTCGATCATTGCACGAATATGTTTTAAAATGGTGTGGACTGATTATGATTCTATTTGGTAGCTATATAATATTGCATGAAATTACAAAAAATGAGGGCATCGTCTTTAATTAATTGTGTGAGTATGCCATGGTGCCCATTGAATAATTTGTTTGTACTATTGTAAATTGAATAAGTTTTGTGATGTGCCTAAGTAAACTAAATACATTGGATGTGACTAATGAACTTGTAATATTTTTGAATTCTCTCTATGACGAGCAGGCCATGCATAGGGATGTGCACGTCAAGCATGAGAACCATAGAATGCTCAGTGTTGTTGATGTCGGGTGTGAGCTTGGTCACCTCGAGTGTGGCAACTCTAGAGATCCTTTGTGTGAAATTTATCAAGATCGAGAAGAGTCACATCGAGTGTGCTCCTTCTAGGAGCTTGCAGCTTTAATCGCAACAGACGCATAACACCCCCATGCAGGGCATCATCATATGCCTACAACTAGTACGTGTATAATTGTGTAACTAATGAAATTAGTCTTGATAGATAAATTATACGAATTATTTGGTTGAGAAAGTGTCATGTGTGAAGTATGGAAAAGTGAGAAAGTATCTGATGAGAATGTGAATAATTGATGTTTGGGATCTGATAAGTGATTATGTGATAAACCTAAGTACATCTTAGCAATGTAAAAGTTTGGGTGAATGTCCTAGTAGTGGTGTGACTTGTGTAATATGAAATAGTGAAAATATAAATTATGAATGTAAATATTATGGCCATGCATAGAGTTTGTATGACATACAACATGTGCATTATGTGCTTTTGTGATGGACAGATATGAAATATGTTGTCAGGGAAGGTCCCCCTTATGTAAAAGCTTGGGGATTCATTGTAACACTATGGTTTTGATGTATGCATGTTATGATATTTATGTTCATATTGTTATGTATGTGATTTTACATGCATGTTATAGATTATTTAGTTGTAGACAAGAGTCTGGTGAGGCTGTAGTTTTGATTATTTATTGTGTAATGATTTTTATTGTTGGTGGTGATAGAAAGTGTTTTGAGGGTATTTTTGTCTTTTAGCTATTTTAGAGCTTTAGGGGTTAGAATATCCTTAAGAGTTAAGTTATTTGAAATTATAGAAGTTAAGGTTCAATTTGGTCAAAAATAGGAAAAGGCTATATAAGGAAGTCTAGAGGAGAGAAATTTCATAAGTTAAGAAATATCAATTTTTAGAGAGAGAGTCTATATTTTTGGTAGTTGATCGTTGATCTGAATCCGTAGATAGATTCATCTTGATTTCTTGAGGAATACTTGTGAAGGAAGTTTGTCAAATTTAGACTTTAAGAGCTTCAAAATCTAGGGAGAAGATTACCTTGAAGTTTTGTGATTTTGCTCTATTTTTTGAGAAATTTCATTTTAAGGTGTTTAGGTAACAAAAGTTCTTATAATTAGATTATCTTGTGTTGTTGGTGTTGTCTTGCTCATTCGTGGCAAATTATGTTGAGATTTTGAGTTTATTGGAGTTTTTGAGGTATTTGGGGCTTTTAGGAAAAAATCTTGATTTTGTACCCAAATTCTTGTTATGAATTGTTTTTGATGTTGGAATTGATAAATTCATGTTTTTTAGATGAGTTTTGATGGTTTGGATTCAAGTATTGGAGCTTATAGGTAAGTTGGGATGGATTAGAAAGGATTAGAAACCCAAAAATCAAGAAAAACCAATGATCGTCTCTATGATGAAACGTCTGAGCGATTTATAAATGACTGACCAGATTTGGGGACTCAAATCAGGGGTGGCTTTGGAGGCAAAGGGCTTAGGGGATTTAAAAGGGCTAAGCAATAATTAAAGGGTTGAGCCGATTTGAGGCCGAAACTACCTGATTCAAAATCCATTGAGTGATCAATTTCCTTCTGAATTAAGCGTATTGATCATCATAAAAGTTTTAGATTTAGATGTTAGTTCTCTAATAGCACTGGAAGCACCTAAAAAGGAGGCCTAGAACTCAAGTTATGACCTTTTTAGTGAGTAAAGGTCATGTTGTCAACATAAGGCTAAAATGTTGTGGTTTTTATAATTTTAGGTACAATAGATGTTGGATTTAGAATTTGAAATCTTCATAAGAGTTGTAGTGTAAATCTTCTTATCTTTAATATGAGATAAATTTTAGCTTGATAGAATTATTAAAACTCCTTATATGTTGATTTTTGTGGAGGTTACCCATTGTAAAATAACTGAATTTCTTGTGATGGGTTATCTCAGTGAGACCCTTGTTTCAAAAGTTGATTCTTTTGTGTTGTTTATATTGAGATGTTGTAATGCACCTAAGATAAGTGTGATTTACATTATATTGATATGTATTATGATGAATGGATATGCTATGTCATTTGGTGAACATATTACTTGGTGAAGTATGTTGATTACGATGGGTTGTTATCATAAGTTAAGATGTTATGATGTGAAAGCATGAGGTATGATTTCTATCATTGTGAGTAAGTTTTAATTTTAAGTTTTCATGTTTGATTATATATATACAATTGTTGAATGAATATCCAGGAACTGATGCGTGTGATCCTAATTTAGATGGTTTTATGGGATTTTCATTGCATGTATGTGTTTCACGAGTGTGATAGTCTAACAGACAGGTCGTTACATTCATGACCTTAAGGATAGCTAGGTTGGGGAGCCTCAATCCTGTCACTTTTTGTGCATGGGGTGAAACTTGGCAAACATAGATATCCAGACACACCACTAGTATATTTTTTCCTAGTGTAAAGTGTTGTGATGGTTTTACTTGACATGAACTCTTAGGCTACATAACCTTCGGGCAAAGATGAAGTAGTTTTACTAGCAAATGACATGTATGCTTTATATTATGTTATTCTATGTATGTGGCTACCAATTCATTTCCTACATCAGTAGTCAGAGTGAGATGTTTGTCACTTTTTTTTTTCTTTTGTTGTCTTGTTTTGGGTGTGTTTATGCACATGAATTTAATTATGGAAGAGTTTGAATTTTATGTTGGGATCGTTCTAATAGAATGTGACATTAAGACTTTAGTTAGAAACTATTTTTCTTATTGCATTAGGAATTTTGTTCTTTTAAGATATTTTTGTTTTAGTCAATATTCTTAGTAATTGCTTCTAATTTTGTCGTTTATTTTGGAAATTTGTAATGTGATACCTTTACCTTTAGTTTCTAATTAGTTAATGAAATATTTTTCATATTACTATCTTTTTTATATACTATTGAATTAATGAATGAAGAGTAGAGAGTCTCACACTTAGTCATTGTCAAAGTTAATTTTCATATGATCATTTATGTTTTATGGTGGAAGTTGTGTAGACAGGTGATTTCCTTATTTTGAATTAATGAAATTCTTTGACTTCTTTTTTATTTAAAGAGTTTTATTTCACGAATTGTGAACCTTTTTACTATAAATGACAATGATTAAACAATATATATATATATATGGCACTATATTATATATGGGGTATAACATTACTGTACAAGTTAATCGCATCTTTAAAATAGTTATTTAATGTTAAATTCATTTAAAATAAAAATTAATAACTTTATATGATAAAATAAATTTTAATAAATTTTATTTTTATTTTAGATATATATTTTTTAGCAGACATAATTATATTGTATAATAAAATAATGTGAAAATATCATTAGTCTGTATTTTAACGTGATTTTTGACGGCTTAACATGAATTAAAACAAGTTTATATGTGGGTTTGGGGAATTGATTTTGTATCATTGTTATGTTATAGAATTAATTTTATATACAACATGATTTTTGTTTAATTAAAAGACGTGTTTTAATTAGTATACACTGCTGCGGGAGAAAGTTACACCGTCAACAAACCATAATGATATAACTTAGGCGGCGTTTTTAATTAGAATAAGTAGATTCTCATAAATATAAACATAGGAACATAATACTTTTATGGTTACTAGAAGGGTCAAAGTACTTCGTGCCTTTAATAATTATACATAGATAGAATATTAAAAGATTGTATGTTTTTATTTAAAAATAATATATATATATATATATATATATATAATATAAAAATAGATAAAAGGAATACATGGATTTGGTTTCTACTTTTATTCAGTCCTTTTTATCCTTTAATTGTTGACATAATCACTTAAAAATTAGGACAAAATTGTAAATCTGTTATTTCATTCAAAAATTAGAAACCGAGAAACCGCTACTTCTTCTTATAATAATTTCTACTTTTTTTTACTCAAATTTTGAGAGAAAATGGTCACCGGCACATTGGGAAGCGAAGGGTACTCTCTGATTAAGGATTTAAGATTGGACATTGAAGTAAACGACAGAACTTTTTCACTCTGCTTTTAGCTTTATTTGACCAATTCCAATACATTCCCTGTTACCATCATTCAACAGGTCAAATATATATTCTCTTTTTTGTTCTTTTACAATCATGGTTTCCCTTTATTATTGTGGGTTTGAAATGCTGGAATTGCATGAGCTGTATATTCGTTTGTTTCTTTCCGTTAGTGATAATAATTAATTGGTACGGTTATCTGCGCATAGCAAGAAGGTACACAAATACCATTTTTTTACGCATAGTGTCATCAGTTCCTGGGCCAAATTGTAACCATTTTAATTTTTCATTACATTGCAACACCTTTTATCTTTTTTTATAACCATTTTAATTTTTCATTCACATTTATGTTTGTTTGGTTTATTGGGTCAATTCCATTGTATGCTTTCATTTTCAATTTCATCTTTTTACATCATCGAATTCATTTTTCGTGTTTCATACTATTAATAGTCTTTTTATTTTCGTGTTTTCCTTTCTGTGTTGATGGTTTTTATAAAGATAAAGAGGTTCTTTTTTGTTTTTTTTCTCTCTCTCTTTTGGTACGGCGTGGTTGTGTCCATTGTCGGTTTCTGTTTCCTTTCACAAAGAATAAAATCAATTCTTCACCTCCGTTTATTCATTCACACTCGACAATATCTTCATGTTTTATGTTAAATTTCAAAAATTTAATTTTAATTAATTAAATTTAAGGGAATACATGGGTTTGGTTTAAATAAGTAAATAAATTATATTTAAAACATATAAATATTTTATATTCTATCTATAATCTATAATCTATAATCTATCTATAACATCTATAATCTATAACATCTATAACAATAAATAAAGGGAATACATGGGTTTGGTTTTCACTTTTTTTAAGACATTTATATCCTTTAATTGTTAACATAATTACCAATTAAGTACATATAAACAGTTAAGCAACACGTAATAACTGAAAAAAAAACTGTCACAACCCATAAAAACTGCCAAGGAGTCTGTTTACCAATTTATGTTTACCAATTTTGAATGTTACGTTTCTTTCTTCTCTCCACATTCACTTTCATGTCATCAAGAAAACCATCCATACGTGTTGTTCTATATGTATATAATTTCAAAGGTGAAAATTGATTTTGCATGTATTTGAATAATTTATTACTGTCATTGAATACTGTTTTATTTATTTATTATTCATTATTCATGCTTTAATTTGAATAATCATTAATTTATTTAACATCATGCTGGCTTTCTTTAAACCCTTTCTTTTCCCTAATGTACATACAGTGAAGAATATCTGATTCTGAACATTTCTGAACCTCTGAACAATATCTGATTTTGTGGGAAAAGCTTCTCAGTCTTTCAAGGAGATAAACAACAACGGTGAGAATTTTTTTTTTATTTTTTTTTCACGTTTGATGATTGCGCCTTCACGATTATGGTTTTTTCAATTCCATGCTTCTTAAATTTCGGATTCAATTCTGTCTTTTCTGTTTTGATTAGGGCTATTTCATTTTCATTATTGTAGTTTTGAGATCCTTTAGTAGCAGTAAATTCAAACCCTATATTGAAAAATCTTCGTTTTCATGGTGACATTTTTATAAATTTGAAAAATAATAGGTATATTCATTGTGAGAAGCTATGTACGAAGTTTTGGTAGGCCATGTTTGTGAATCTTATGTAAAATTTAAAATTTAAAATTTAAAATTCAAAATTTAATTTAAAATTCAAAATTCAAACTTTAAACTTCAAAATTTAAAATTTAAAATTTAAAATTTAAAATTTAAAAATATAATTTGACACATTTCTGTCTATTTTAATTTGAATTTGTGAATTCTGCTGGTCACATTTGATTATACTTTGACATCCATATTGTGTGCTTCATGTGTCTTGCCAATCATGATATCTTCTATTTGAGTAGGGGAGGGGGGAATGGAAAAACAAAGGAATTTTTGAAAATAATTGTTATTTAGAGTTATAAAAAAAATTCTAAGATGAAGATAATTAGTTTGGGTCAGGTGTCATGTGGAGGTACTCATTCAGTTGCTTTAACCCGAGATGGACACATGTTTTCTGTAAGTATTTTTTATACCATCATAATTGCATTTTCTGTGATTTGGTTAAATGATAGAATCCTTGATTAACAAATTTAATATATTGATTATTATCGCTTATCAACACTCATTAGCTAATGTTATATTGGCCTTTCTTTGAAGTAATCATAAGCGTTTTCTCAAACAGTCTCATTGGACTTAAATATGCTTTGGATACGGATAATAAAATGTATTTTTAGTATTACTCCCTATTTTAATTTTGAAATTAATTATAATGCAATGATTGTGTAAAGGTTTTCTACTCTGTTATTCAATCACAAATTCGAGAAACATTCAACCCTTGATTCCGCAATTCTCTCCGAATTTTGCCTTGAATTTGCTTTTCGAATCAATGATTATTGTAGTTTAGAGAGTTCAATATTAAAAAAAGGTTTTGATCCTTGTGCTTTCATTTTTATTTTTATTTTATATTTTATATTTTTTAATTTCACGAGTATATGTTGATTGGATAATTATATTGATTTATGATGTTGATGATTATGATGATGATTATTCAATGTGGTTTGTAAATTTGTGAACTTGCCATTTTCTTTTTCTTTCCCTTTTAGTCTCTCTCTCTATTTTTTTTTTAGTTTGGTTTACGTTGTTGAGTTCTATTATTGTTGGGATTTGAGAGTATTTGTGTTTTTGTGTAATTTTCTAGGTACATCGGATAGATGGTATGCAGTAGTTGTGTAAGGTCTTTGTTTGTTCAAGCTGGAATCTTCGTCAACAGGGTGAAAATCAACGGCATTTGGAGGAGTTTGCGAGCAGCTCGGGGTTTTTCTTATTGGCCAATTCGTGAATACAAGACAAGCATAGGGATGATGGTTGATACGGGTTCTATGTCAAGGGTCGGACCTCTGGTTGATATGATGCTAGAGAAAGATGATGATGGTCAGTTTTCCAGAGAATTTGTACATCATTTTACATCGGTTGTGGGAAGAACCGATGTAAATTGGTGTACAAATTTACATCAGTTGTACAAAGAACCGATGTAAATTTGTACATCATTTTACATCGGTTGTGGGAAGAATCGATGTAAAATGGTTTGCATTTACTACGTCACTCCATTCTACATCGGTTTTAGAACCGATGTAGATAATGTTATATTTGATTCCGTTTAACTCCATATGTTTAAATTTTTTATTTACTTGCTTCTTCTCAAAATACTTATTATAGTAGAAAACAATACATGCCTCATTGGTTTTGGAAACAGATCCTCTTTTAGTTTTTTTTTTCCAACAAAATTGCAATTTGATTATCTATGCGTATGAGTTTCAGCATAGTCATAAAGCCAACAAAAAACAATAATATCTTTGATCTCCTATTGCTAGAGTTAATTAAAGTGCACCTATGCTTTCTGTAGTAGCTAAGCATGTAGCATCTTACCGGAAAATCGTCAATCAATTGGACTAGAAAAAGCTAATATAAATAAAAAGTGGAAGATATTATAGATGTGAGTGCGTATACATATGGTTGTGATTTTTAGTTTGCAAATTTAAGTAACTATTAGTATAATCTGAAGGAGACAAGGTTGTAAGCAGTGAATGGAGGTAAGCAATATGCTTAGACACTTATTTGATTTCATAGTGTATACCTTGGTAGTAAAGGAGTAGGGTTATACTTTTCTGTAATTGTTTTCTGTTTCTTCATTGACACTTAATACTGCTACTTTATTTTCTTCTGTGTGGGTTTTGGTTTTGTTGATACTCAATACTACTACTTTATTTTCATCTGAATGGATTTTGGTTTCTATTAACGTTTTTCCAGTGATTAGGCTATAATATCTTTGTTCTGAAATTTATTTCAGGTTTATGGCTGGGGAAGGGGTGAACATGGCAGGCTTGGATTCGGAATTTAAAATTTAAAGTTTTAAAATTCAAAAATTTAAAATTTAAAAATTAAAATTTAAAAATTAAAAATTAAAATTTAAAATTTAGAATTTAAAATTCAAAATTTAAAATTTAAAATTTAAAATTTAAAATTAAAAAAAAATATTCAATTATAACTAACTCTTATCTGTATTTAATTTTTAATAGTGTAAAAATTTAAAATATTCATTTTAAAACATATAATCAAATAAATTTTGTGAGACCCCTTTTTTTATTTCCTTCTCCCCCGAGGCCCTTTCTCATTTTCCTTCTTCCTTATTGTTAACCCTCTCCTCTCGCTCACTGCTCGCTGTACTTCTCTGAGGCTGACTTTGTGCTCTATTGCTGGTGCTCCTTTCAAATTCAAGGTACCGACTAAGTGATTCTCTTCTGGATCCGGACCGTGCGGAGCTTCTCATTTTTCTTCTTCTTCTTCGTCTTCCTTCTCGAAGCTCGAATCTTCAAGCTAATGTAAGGGAAGCTAGTATTTTTGTTTCTTTTTCATTGTGTTTGGCTGTGAACGAGTTCTAGAAACTCGTTTGATGCTTGTTGATGGGTGATTCTTGACTGGATTGAAAGGGAACTTGTTTCTTTGGGGGTTTCGGGGTTGTTGAGAAATGTTGGGGAAAATCCTTGATCTGTTGTTGCATGTCGAAAAAGGTGGTATTTTTGGACTCTTGGATGATAATGTAGTAATTTGGACCGATTGCATGTGCTTAGGAAGTTGATTTTGCAGGTTTTGGATGAAATTTTAGAATATGGGGGCAGTTGCAGTTTGAATTTGCGCCGGGCGCAGTTCTTCGCGTCGGGCGCAATTTAAAGCCGCGTCTCTGGTGAGTTTTTGCGCCGGGCGTGAGTATTAGCGCGCCGGGAGTGAGTATTTGGATTTTGAAGTCTTCATGAAAGTTGTAGCCTTGGATGTTAGCTTTCCAATGGCGTTGGAATCACTCAAAAAGGAGTTTTAGAACTCAAGATATGGCTGTTTTAGTGAAGAGAGGTCAAGCTGTCAGCATTACATATAGATGTTGCGGTTTTTTAGAATTTTTAACAAGGTAGATGAAGGAATTAGGACTTGGTGTCTTCATGAGAGTTGTAAGAAATCCTCTTATCTTTCATATGAGATAAGGATAAGCATGATAGGAGTAGTATAACTCCTGATGCGCTGTTTTCAGTGAAGGCTGCCATTTCACTTTTAGTGATTTGGTTAAGTGAAAAGTTGTTATAGGTGCTTAGGTGTACTCTTGTTGTTTGGGTGAGTAATTTGACAAGATAGATGAGTTGTAAACAAGATGGTTGGATCATATTAGGCGTTGATCATGCTAACTTAAGCTGCTAATGATGAATGTGATTGAGATGTTTATGTTGCATTATTATGTTGAGCTGTACCCGTTGTATATTGCTGTAAGTTGATAACTCATTATATGCTGAGTTGAATTGGAATGGATAAATATGGTGTGATGATGAGTGAATAATAATGTTGTTTGTGTTGATTAATGTTGCCAATGCCGTGTGATGAAAAGTTGAGTTGTGCTATGCTGTATGCTGATTAATGATGTTAATGCCGAATGTTGTTTATGTTGACTTAAGCTGATAAGTGATGAATATGTTGTGCTGACTAGTTGATATTAGCTGAAGTATGATGTTGAGTTGTAGTTGATGTATGTTGTTGTAATGTATGATGCAAATGCTGGATTTTTGTTGTTGAGCCGATCTGAATTGTATGTTGATTTATATAATTAATGATGTAACGTTGTGCTGTGAGCTGTGTTAGTTGTGCTGTAAGTTGTTTAGCTGTGCCGTACTGTAAGCTGTGCTGAGTTGGACTATTATATATGATTTAAATGCTAATTTATAATATGGCTGTACTCTAGAATGATGAGCTGAGTTGTGAGTAGTAAGCTGTGTTGAATACTACTAGTTGTGTTGTATGTTAATGTGTTGTGCTGTGCTGTGAGTTGTTTTGTTGTGCTATTTATTGCTGAGCTGTATGCTGCTATAGCCGCTATGTCGGGGCTGTTAGCCACTATTGTGGTGTTGTAGCCGTTAAGTCGGTGCTGTTGTTGCCACAATCGTGGTGCTGTGATACCCGCTAGATGGTGCTGATGTGTGCCGAAGTGAGAGGCCATTATAACCACTTGAGGGGGTGCTGTTGCTGCTGCGGCGCAGTGCTGATGTGTGCCGAAGTGAGAGGCCATTATAACCACTTGAGGGGGTGCTGTTGCTGCTGCGGCGCAGTGCTGATGTGTGCCGAAGTGAGAGGCCATTATAACCACTTGAGGGGGTGCTGTTGCTGCTGCGGCGCAGTGCTGATGTGTGCCTAAGTGAGAGGCCATTATAACCACTTGAGGTGGTGCTATTACTGCTGCTGAGCAGTGTTGATGTGTGCCTAAGTGAGAGGCCATTATAACCACTTGAGGTGGTGCTGTTGCTGCTGCTGAGCAGTACTGATGTTGCCGCTAGGCGATGCTGTTATAACCACTTGAGGTGGTGCTGTTGTTGCTGTTCTACAGTGTTGATGTAGCCACATCGTGGTGCTGGTATTGATGCGTGATATAAGCTGTGCAGATGAGCTGATACTCATAATGATGAAATTTAATTACATTTCTATGTATATATTTGTATGCTAATTTTAATTTCACTAGCTTACCCTTTCGCTGTTTTCCATGGTGTTTGGACTGCGATGATCATACTGTGTATGGGAGCAGAACAGGAATAGGTGGGCATCCTGGGATGAGTCTCCGGCAGACCTTGGAGCTGTTTTGCTTGTGTGGATATCTTGCTTGTAGCTACTTGGGATAGTAGCATTTGATCGCAACTTTTGTACACTTTAACTCTGTTCAGATGGGATAATGTAAATGTATATTCTAGACTCTATATGTATACACTTGTTCTTTTCTGTGCAGTGTTTCTAGTGTGTTTTGTCGTGTGCAGCGACCAGCCGGGTCGTTACAAATTTAGTCAAAAATTTAAAATAATAAATAAAAGTTATTAATTGTAAAATTTGATTTAATAAAAAAATTTCAAACATTCACAATATTTCTACAATAAATTATTATGTATAGTCATTTTTATAACATGTAATTATGTTAATAATTTCTACAGTAAATATTAAATTTGGTCATTTTATAAAATAAATTCTGTTAAATCATTATTTTTAAATATATATATATATATATATATATATACTTAAAATTAAAAATAATAAACTAAATATTTTTCTCCAATTTATTCTGTTTTTACCATGAAACTATGTTACTTTCTCAACTTATGTTTTTAATATCATAACAACCGTTGCTTAAACTTTAAAATTTAAATTTGAAAATTTAAAAATTAAATTTTATAATTTAAAATTTAAAATTTAAAATTTAAAATTTAAAATTTAAAATTTAAAATTTAAAATTTAAAATTTAAAATTTAAAATTTAAAATTTAAAATTTAAAATTTAAAATTTAAAATTTAAAATTTAAAATTTAAAATTTAAAATTTAAAATTTAAAATTTAAAATTTAAAATTTAAAATTTAAAATTTAAAATTTAAAATTTAAAATTTAAAATTTAAAATTTAAAATTTAAAATTTAAAATTTAAAATTTAAAATTTAAAATGTATAATTCATAATTTAAAATTTAAATTTAAATTTTTAATTTTTAAAAGATAAAATTTAAAATACGTAATTTAGTATTTAAAATTAAAGTTTAAGATGTAAACTTTAAACTTAGACATATATTACATTTGAATTTGTATTGAAATATAGTTATATATTTAAATTTTTAAATGTATTAAGATAGTAAGTTTAAATACTATTTTCTTATAATTTTAAAGGGAAAAAATAAATTTAGAAAATAGATATATTTAAAATTTACATTTTTAATAACTTGAGTAAAATTAAATTCTTTTGTAAAAATAATACATAAAAAAAAAAGAATTGTAAAAAAAAACTAAACTTGAGAAATACATTCAGTTTATTAATTAAATAAACTTATGTAATTAATTTCATTATAAAAAATTTATTGTTATTATTTAATGGTGCATATTATGGTTGTTAAATCAAATTAAAGAAAAGTTTTGAAATTTAACGTGAATCATGAAGATATTCTCAATGATAACTTTTATTTAGAATCCTTCTTTTAAAGTGCATGTAAATTTGTGGTTCACACGTGCATTCATACACATGACAGAGAAAGTCACATTTAGTCTTTGGTTTTGTTTCATTTGTGTGTAAATTCACTCATTCATTTACTTCAATTTTCGCTACCTAAATTTAAATTTGCTAAATCACTTTATTGTATTATGAAAAAAAAACTTTTTGCCTATCTATTTTTTGGTCCTATATTTTCGTAGTGCATGATATGATCCCTTTCATGATGTGAAGTTGTAAAAAAATATTTAATGGATTATATGATTTTCATAACTATTATATATTCGCATGTTATGATTTTATTTTTACTTTTTTTAAGTACAAAATCATCGCATGTACGGACTCAAAATGATATTTTGTTAGTTTTGCAATTTTTTTCCAGGTTATTGTTTGTATGATTTGTTTGTGATTTTACGTGAAAATCTGTGAATTATAGAGTGTTAGTGTAGATTAGGGATTGTTAACATACTGTGTAAACATTTTGAGATTTGTTGGGATTATGCAGTTTCATCATCTACCCGTTCATTTTCATTTTTATTGAAAAATTAATTTTTCAGTAATTATAGCTCCTAAAGAGTTACTCTAGTGCATTCTTTCAATCTCATCTTCATTGTTTTTCTACTACATTCTTTTTGTGTTTTGTTGCCTTCTTTAGTGCATGCAAAAGTGTCTCCAAACCATCAATTGGAAAAAGACAAAGTTATTTATTGAAAAATTGTACATTTATTTTTATTAATGATATAATGTCATATTTTAAAAATAATTAAACAAATAACATAGGTTTCAGTAATGTGTGACTTAATTAATATACTATTTTTTAAACAATTCAACAAAGTATATATACAATTTCCTAAAACTTTAATGGATATAAATGTAATTTACACTAAACTTAAAAGCCTAATTTTTATTTGTGTCTTGAACCGTATTCAGAGTCCATATCCGATTTGTTGAAGGCAAACGAAATTAGGCTTTATCAACTCTGGATCCACGGCCGTAAGGTTTGTATTATTCCTCTCTTCTGAATCTTCAATTATATATTAAACGAAATTCATGACCCTAAATGAAGTTTATCTTCAAATTTAAAATTAATATTGTACTTATTTTGTACTATATATATGGGAACCCATACTTTGTCTATTTCACAAATTAATAGTTTCACCATTTAATTAAAATTTAATAATAGTGATTATTACATTTATTTATATATTTCTTAATAACAATTCAATATATAATTGTCCACAAATGCTATTTGACAGATAGCTATATAACAATATGCCAAATTCAAATGGTCAACAACAAGAACAACAACGAGAAAGATGGAGACAAAACTATAGAAATAGAAGAAATCGAATGAACATGGATCAAAGACAACAACAATTGTCTAGGCGACGTATAAATTACCAACAAAGGGGACAACAACAAAATGAAGTACACACATCATCTTCAACAACTCATCCAACTAATTCACATATCTGTACAACCACAGACATGTTAAATAATTTGCCAAACATAACCTTTCAACATTCCACAATTGCAAATTCACACAGCATAAGAAGACTGACATATGTACTACAATTAGCTCGGTCTACTACGTTTCAAAGAATAGGTAACATCCAAACAAATGCAATTTTTTTAAATATTGGTCACGTTGGTCATGGTTTGTTGTGTATAGTCTTTTTAATATATTTTTTCAAAAATATTTTTTCTTTTTGGTTAAGTTATTATTATTTTTACTAAACATTTACAATTTAAATTTTCTTAAACAGGGTTTCAAGGAACAAATGACAATGAAGCAGGACCGAGTATCAGGAATATTGATCACATAATTCATGGTTAGTCATCATGAATTTCAAATATATTCATAATTGTTTATTTCTTTTATTTGACATAAAATTAGGATAAATTATCTATTTAAATTTTATATTTATATAATTATTTTAATAAATTCATTAAAATTTTTGTATTGACACATTTACTTTTTTTTCCTATTTTATAATCATGCAGATCATCCAACAAGGTTTCAAGGAACAAATGACAATGAAGCAGGGCCGAGTAATATACATATTAATAACAATGTTAATGGTTAGTGAGAATGAAATACAATTATGACAAACTATCATATACATTCAAACATTTTATTCACTTAACATATCATAAACATAAATTTACAATTTATGAATGTTATTTTTTGGTTTTACAATAATACAGATTTCATGGAAGTGGAAATGCAAAATGGAAATACTATAGAACTACCTATTCAAGGTACACACAATTTCTTTATGACCCGTATTGTTTTTTATTGTTTTTATTTATTAATTAACATATATTATCCATGCGCCCCCACGAGCGCGCACACACACAAGTATATATATATTTTTAATTTTATTAAAATCCATTATCACTTTCTTAAATAAAGTAGAATTGCCAACTCAATTCTCACGAGCACATAATAGTGCTCGAAATTTCCAAAATACCATGAGAATGACTAATCCTCAATTACCAAGTCCAACTACATGTAGACGATGTCAAGCACAACTATTTTATCATGAATCAAAAGATATGTGCTGCTCTGGTGGAAAAGTTAATTTTACACTAATTAATGCTCCTCAAAAGTTGCTTGATGTTTTTCTGGACTCTACATCTGAAGGGAAACATTTTAGAAAACATATTCGAAGTTACAATCATGTACTTTCATTCACTTCACTTGGTGTTCATCTTGATAAAAATGTTGGACCAAATGGATGTGGTATATATAGTTTTCGTGCTCAAGGTTCAATATATCACAACATTGGAGGATTCTATCCAAATGAGGGTTGTAGGCCACGATTCTTGCAATTGTACATCTATGACACAGGTCATGAATTACAAAATAGGATGCTTGAAAACCCTCAACTACATCAATCCATAGTTTCTAAGTTGCAACAAATACTACATCAGTTCAATCCTTTTGTGCATGTATTTAAACAACTTGCACTACGATCAAATGTTCAAGAATGCAGTCTACTTATTAAAGAACGTCCTAATAATCAACCACAATATCATCTTCCAACCACTTCACAAGTTGCCGCAATCATTGTTGGTAGAGATACAGAATCAATGTCACGTGGACGAGATATCAAATTGCGCAGTCATGATGGTAATTTGGTGAAAATTCAAGAAATAGTAGGCTATTATGATCCACTGCAATATCCTTTGCTATCACCTTTTGGGACATATGGTTGGGATTTCAACACCAAAAATGATAATGGACAAAATATCTCATGTCGAGAATATTATAGTTACACCCTTCAGGTATTTTTCATATATACTATAAAAATATGTAAAATTAAATTATGAAGTGTTAACGAATACCTATGTTGTAGATTCGTCCAGATGATCAATCTACATTGTTAAAGTCTGGTAGACTTTTACAACAATATGTTGTAGACAACTATGTGAAAATTGAATCAGGGAGGTTAAGGTGGATTCGAAACAATCAAAATAATATTCGTGCTGAAGTATACCAAGGTTTGCAAGATGCTTTACATGAAGGAGAAACTATTGGAGGTAATCCACACAATATTTATGAATGTCATATTTATTTCAATAACTTTCATTCTGAGTTACCAAAAATAAAAAATTAAAATTATTATTGTAGAAAATATCGGTCAACGAACAATATTACCATCATCATTTATTGGTAGTCGTCGTGACTTGACC